CCAGCTGTTCCCTTCGCAAGGCGGCGGTGACCACATTATTCGCGGCGTCTATTTTTAAAAATGGCTTTCCAGCCGCAGTTGTAGGAACCTGACGATTGCGAGGGGCAGCTCTTCCAGCCCTTGCAGCGCCTTGGCTTTAAATAGATTTATTTCTTCCTTCTCGGCTTGATCGCCCTCTCCTCCCCAGGATGCACCCTCGTGATAACTCTCCTCCCGTGGAATGCGCCGGTGATGCCCCTGCTCAGACCGGGTTGGGCAGACCGGGCACGGCAAAGCCACGGGATGCGTCGGGGCTCCCGGCTTATTTGGGGGCGGGGAAGGGATCTTGGTGCTTTCGTATCGGCGCCGTGACATTGCTGTTGTGTTTGTCGGGAGGTCACCGAATAGCAGATGCTATTTGGGTTTTGGTGATTGTAAAGTCTTTTGATTATCCTGGGAAGGTCTGCATCCCAACTCGGGAGCTGCCCGGGGGAGAGCGGGCTAACTTGGTCTCCGAGCGTGTGAGGGAAACCTGCGTGTGTGTGTGTGTGTATGTGTGTGTGTATGTGTGTGTGTATGTGGGGGGAAGAGTCAGAAGGAAGTTTTCCTCCAGGAATAAGGAGGACAAAGAGAAAACCCCGGGGGCTGCGCGTAAACTCCTCTCTGGTCTCTGCCCTGTGGGAATCCCCCTCCCCGCACACACACACACTCACACACCTCTGGAGTGACATCAGATAAGAGTAATTCTTTTGTGATGCTTATGTTGGATGTGTGCCTATTGCATACAATAAACCGAGCCATATTGTGTGTCTATACTCGCCCGGTTCTGGGAGCCCTGGCGTTTCGCAATTCCTGCAGCAAGATGTCCATCTCTGAAAGAAAAGCTCCCCGGGAGAGCCCGGCTCGGTCCCCCCCGTAATGCGATCTCAGGTGATCAAAGCCTTATCTCTCCTGGGTGACAAAAGAAATTTTTTTTTGATGCAGTCTCCTTTAGTCTAGGGCATTTGCTAGACAGTGGAGTCATTGTAAATTCAGGAACTCTAACAGCGGAGAGGCGTGCCTCTGTGCGTCAGCACAAGTACTGCATGCACAGCATTAAAAAAATAGGAGCGTGCAGGAAAAGGAGAAAAAAAAAAGCTTGTCAGCAGGTGACCTCCGCTCCCCGGGACCTGCTGCTACAAGGAACCGCTGCGTTCATCATCTGCGG